CCGAGTAGCTGGGATTACAGGCACGTGCCACCATGCCCAGCTAATTTTTTGTATTTTTAGTAGAGATGGGGTTTCACCGTGTTGACCAGGATGGTCTCGACCTCGTGATCCACCCGCCTCGGCCTCCCAAAGTGCTGGGATTACAGGCTTGAGCCACCGTGCCCGGCAGAATTCTTGCTTATAATCAGTGCTCGATGTTAAGAAAGACACTGGGTAAGTCATTACCTTGTATTTTAAACATGTTTAACATAAACATGGGCCAGGCTAGGTGGCTTCTACCAGTAATCCCAGCACTTTTTTAGCTGGTAGGCTGGTGGACTGCTTGAGCTGAGGAGTTCGGCCAGCCTGGCCAGCACGGTGAACTGCCTCCCACCCCCACCGCATCTCTACAAAAAATACAAAAATTAGCCAGGCATGGTAGTGTACCCTGTAGTCCTAGCTACTTGGGAGACTGAGGAGGGAGAATACCTTGAGCCTGGGAGGTAGAGGTTGAAATGAGTCAAGATTGCACCACTACTCCAGCCTGGGTGACATGGGGATAGTCTGTCTCAAATTACTAAAAAATAAAGATTAAATAAATCATGGATGCATATGTCTATATTTTAAATATTTTGCCTGGTATAGTGGAACAACAAATGGCCAGTTCATATTTTGTTAAGGTTTCTTCGATGCCATATTACAAAAGAATTAATCATTAGATTAAATTTACCAGGCACTCTCCTAACAGTTTGTACAATGCATAGTTTTTTATAGCTAGACAGACTTCATTGTTCAATGTCACTGTTAGATGAATTAGTGAATCCTAACCTTTTTCCCCCTCTATAGACCTTTTTTTCCCCAATATTGGGTTTGTATTAAGATATATTTTCCCTCAGGAATAAAAGCTGTGGCTTCATCTTGTTCATACCTACATGAAGCTTCTCTGAAACGGTGCTGCAATCTCACTGATGAAGGAGTCGTTGCTCTTGCACTCAATTGCCAGCTGTTAAAGATCATCGATTTAGGTGGCTGCTTAAGTATTACTGATGTGTCCTTACATGCATTAGGAAAAAACTGCCCGTTTTTGCAGTGTGTTGACTTTTCAGCTACTCAGGTAAATGACATATAGGCCAAATGTGTCTGCCAAATGTATTTTCATGACTAATAAGAACATATAATAATTAGTTCATTTTGGTTTTGTTGAAATTATTGACTATTTCATGCTTTTATGGTTAAGTAATTGCAATATATTTTGGCACATTCCTCTCAAGTAACAAGGGTGGAAGGTATATATGATATATGGCTAAAACACATGTTTGTTGAATGGGAAGCAATAAGACTGTATCTAAATAAGTAATACATTTTTAAAAATTCTACTTCCATTGTCTGCTCTCATGGGCTGTGTTTCTTTTTCCCTTTGCTTAGGTATCTGACAGTGGTGTGATTGCACTTGTTAGTGGACCTTGTGCCAAGAAATTAGAGGTAATTTAAAAATAATTTTAAAGATAGTGGTGATTAAATTTTTATATTCTCAGAAATTATTTTTAAAACCTAGCAGATAACCAATGCTTTATCAGTTAAGTATTTTATGGACTTTTTTGGGGGAGGGGGTTTCTATCTCTTTATTGCCAGAGTTAATATAAACTGTTAAGGAAATAAAATAAAGGTATTTTAAAATAAAAACTCATTTTACTTCCAGTAAAATGTCTTATTTGCCAGAAGCTTTAGCTTCTAACAGATTTAAGAACCATCTCATTATGGATGAAGATTGTGAATATTTATTAGTCTAAATTTATAATAGGATTCCAGGTCTGACTGATATTTCTACCAGTAGTACTAATTCTCTTGCCATCCTTTCATTCTATTTTTCAATAGCCACATTGTACGATCATTTAAAAAGATTTTTTTTTTTGAGACAGAGTCTTGCACTGTTGCCCAGGCTGGAGTGCAGTGGCACAATCTCTGCTCACTGCAACCTCCACCTCCCAGGTTCAAGCAATTCTCTTGCCTCAGCCTCCCAAGTAGCTGGGACTACAGACGTGTGCCATCGGCTAATTTTGTATTTTTAGTAGAGACAGGGTTTCACCATGTTGGCCAGGCTTCTCACAAACTCCTGACCTCAGGCGATCCTCTTGCCTCAGCCTCCCAAAGTGCTGGGATTACAGGTGTGAGCCACCACACCCGGCCCAAAAAAGATCTCAAATTTGTGTACATCCTTTGAATTGAATGGCTAATGCACTTGTAACCTATTTCTAAATATATTAAGAAGTCTTTTATCCCAGGATTTTGGTTTCTGGAGGCTGAGGCAGAAGAATCGCTTGAACTTTTTCTTTCTTTTTTTCCTGTGGACCTTGCTGAGACAGAAATGGATCCTTTTCCTACTATGTATAAATCCATAAATAAGATATAGCATTGTTTTATATAGTTTCATAATATATATGTCCTTTTACAACTTGTGTTATTCAGAATTATGTTTTCTGAAAATTTTCAGGTGCAACTGAATTATAATTTACATACAAGAAAATTCATTCATTTTATGTGTATAATTAGATAAATTTTGGCAAATGTTATACAGCCATATAACCACTACCACAATTAATATATAGAACCTTTTCATCACCCTAAAAAGTTTTCTGTTTTCTCTGTGGTTTTCTTTTATTTATTTATTTTTTTTTTGGTCTCTGGTCCTTTGTAGTTGATCCCCTTCTGTGACCCTCTCTTTGGCAACCACTGATTTACTTTGTCATTGTTTTTCCTTTTCTACAATTGTATATAAATTCAATTTTATATAAATGGAATTCTGCAAAATATAATATAGTATTTTGGTTTTTATTTCTTTTACTTCTTTCACTTAGCATAATGTTTGCAAGACTGATCCATGTTGTTGCATATGTTAATATTTCATTCCTTTTTATTGCTAAGTAGTATTCCATAGCATGGATATGCTATAATTTATTTATAATTTTACCATTCAATGCAAAGATAAATAGCTGGGACTTAATTAAACTAAAGAGCCTTTGCACAGCAAAAGGAACAGTCAGCAGAGTAAACAGATAACCCACAGAGTGGGAGAAAATCCTCACAATGTATACATCTGACAAAGGACTGATATCCAGAATCTAGAACAAACTCAAACAAGTTAGCAAGAAAAAAGCAAACAGTCCCATCAAAAAGTGGGCTAAGGACATGAATAGACAATTCTCAAAAGAATATGTACAAATGGCCAAAAACATGACAAAATGTTCAATATCACTAATGATTGCAGAAATGCAAACCAAAACCACAATGTGATACCACCTTACTCCTGCAAGAATGGCCATAATAAAAAAATCAGGCCATGCATGGTGGCTCATGCCTGTAATCCCAGCACTTTGGGATGCCGTGGTGAGTGGATCACCAAAGGTCAGGAGTTTAAGACCAGCCTGGCCAACATGGTGAAACCCCAACTCTACTAAAAATATGAAAATTAGCTGGGTGTGGTGGCGTGCACCTGTAATCCCAGCTACTTGGGAGACTGAGGCAGGAGAATCTCTTGAACCCAGGAGGTGGAAGTTGCAGTAAGCCAAGATCACACCACTGCATTCAGGCCTAGATGACAGAGCTGAGACTCTGTCTCAAAAAAAAAGAAAAAGAAAAAAGAAGAAAATAATAGATGTTGGTATGGATGCAGTGAAGAGGGAACACTTCTACACTGCTGGTGGGAATGGAAACTAGTACAACCACTGTGGAAAACAGTGTGGAAATTCCTTAAAGAACTAAAAGTAGAACTACCATTTGATCCAGCAATCCCCCTACTGGGTATCTACCCAGAGGAAAAGAAGTCAGTATATGAAAAAGATACTTGCACACACGTTTATAGCAGCACAATTTGCAATTGCAAAAATGTGGAGCCAACCCAAATGCCCATCAATCAACAAATGGATAAAGAAACTGTGTTTCTCAAAATTGTTCATATTGTTATTATAGATCTATGTTTTCATTAGACTTTATTTTCTTTATTTTTGCATAGGAGATTCATATGGGACATTGTGTAAATCTGACTGATGGGGCTGTTGAAGCTGTCCTTACTTACTGTCCTCAGATACGCATATTACTCTTCCATGGATGCCCCTTGATAACAGGTTAGTGAGATAGACTGCTTGGGTTCAAATCCTGGCTTCATCTTTTACTAACTGTGTGACCTTGAGCATATTACTTAACCCATTTCATTATTCAGTTTCCTCATCTGTAAAACAGGCATAATGAAAGTACCTACCTCGTAGACTTGGTAATGATTATCTGTGAATTCTTTATATGGTGGCCTTGCACATAGTAAGAGCTCACTAAATGTTAGTCATGATAAGGCTGGGCACGGTGGCTCACGCCTGTAATCCCAGCACTTTGGGAGTCCGAGGTGGGTGGATCACGAGGGTTAGGAGATCAAGACCATCCTGGCCAACATGGTGAATGAGGTGGTGGTGGTGACTAGTGCTCAATAAATGTTAGCTATGAAGAGGATGATGATGGGAGCAATGGTTGTGTTCATGATATTGAACATGATGCTTTATATAAACAATAAGAAAATTTCAAATTTACAATATTACATCTATCAGATACACTAAATGACTTCTTAACTGTTACCAAACTGTAGACATTAAGATCAGAATAATTTGGACTCTTAGGCTAATGTGGCTCTTCACTGAAGGAGAACAAAGTAGCAATAGCTCATTTAGCATGTATAAGAGCCATGGTATATATCCTCCTACCGTAGAAACCATGGCGCCTCACCCTTTCATATTACCCCTATAATAGATCTCATACCATAATATAAACTGGATCTCACTTGTAAATCAGTAGTTATGCCCAGTCATTTCTTTAATTCCAGCTCATTTCTTTAATTACAGTCTAAACAATTTTTTTTTTTTTTTTGAGATGGAGTCTTGCTCTGTCACCCTGGCTGGAGGGCAGAGGCATAATCTCGGTTCACTATAACTTCTGCCTCCCAGGTTAAAGTGATACTCCTACCTCAGCCTCTCAAGTAGCTGAGACTACAGGCCTGCACCACCATGTCCAGTTAATTTTTGTATTTTTGGTACAGATGGGGTTTCATCATATTGACCAGGCTGGTTTTGAACTCCTGATCTCGTGATCCACCAGCCTCAGCCTCCCAAAGTGCTGGGATTACAGGCGTGAGCCACCGAGCCCAGCCAGTCTAAACGATTATTCTGTAGGTTAAGTTATTATCCTGGAAGTTCCTTTGACAACTTCTCTTTCAGTTTTAGGAAGTTCCTTTGACAACTTCTCTTTTATTTTTAGGAAGTCCCTTTGACAGCTTCTCACTTTTATTTTTAGATTGCTAACCTTAACTGAGGCTGTAACCATAGATTGTATTTGGGTATCAGTGACATCTGTAGTGAAGATTAGATCTTACTTTATGCAAACATATTTCTTAAGAAACTAGAGCTAGCAAGGACATATTAGACACTGGTGGCTGGGTGCAGTGGCTTATGCCTGCAATCCCAGCACCCAGGGAGGCTAGGGCGGGTGGATCACTTGAGCCTGGGAGGTTGACGCTGCAGTGAGCCATGGTCATGCCACTGCACTCCAGTCTGGGTGACAGAGTGAGACCCTGTGTCAAAAAAAAAAAAAAAAAAGAAAAGAAAAAAAGAAACTGTGGTTAACTCCACAGAAAGTTGTAAAGGGACAAGAGCAGGAAAACTGTCATTGTATACCCTTTTGTATCTTTTGAATTTTATATCATGTGAATTATTTTTAAACTATTAAAAATTAATTGGCCAGGTGTGGTGGCTGTCAGAACACAGATGATCCCTGACTTACAATGATCAATTTACAGTTTTTTGACTTTACAATGGTGCAAAAGCTGTATGCATTCAGTAAAGCCATACTTCAAGAACCTATGCAACCATTTTTTTCACTTTCAGTATAGTATTCAATAGATTACATGAGATTTTTAACACTTTATTATAAAATAGGCTTTGCGTCAGATAATTTTGGCTAACTGTAGGCTAATTTAAGTGTTCTGAGCATGTTTAATGTAGGCTAGGCTAAGCTATGTTGTTTGGTAAGTTAGGTATATTGAACCCATTTTCGATTTTGTGTATTTTTGACTTATAATGGGCTTATCAGGGTGTAACCCCATCATAGGTTGAAAAGCATCTATAGAGGTAAGGAACAAATACCAGTTTTCTTTTTTATTTTTTTTTGAGGCAGCGTCTCACTTTGTCACCCAGGCTAGAGGGCAGTGGCACAATCTCAGCTCTCTGCAACCTCCACCTCCCGGGTTCAAGCACTTCTTCTGCCTCAGCCTCTGGAGTAGCTGGGATTACAGGCATGCACTACCATGCCCAGATAATTTTTGCATATTTAATAGAGATGGAGTTTCACCTTGTTGGCCAGGCTGAACTTGAACTCCTGACCTCAGGTGATCCACTCACCTCGGTCTCTAAAGTGCTGAGATTACAGGTGTGTGCTACCATGCCCAGTCTAAATACCAATTTTCAAGTCTAGAAAATATACTGGAGTGGTTAATCAGATTTTCAAACCAAGGAGTCTTTTGAGATAAATCATGACATTACGGAGATCACTAGTAACCAAAGATACGTTAACATATCATGGATTTAAGATAAATGCCTAGTTGGTTTGATTCCAGAAACCAGGAAAGCATAATCACACTAAATCTTTTCACATCTACGTAATGGCTGAAAACACTGACCTTACCTACTCAACTGTAAACTTCTAAAGGACAGGATTATGCCATGTAAGTATTTGTCTGTCTTTCATATATAGTACAGTATTATACATATAATAGATACTCATAAATAGGTATAATTAATTCTTTATTATAAAAGTAAAATTATATTATTCTATAATTGGAAATTAAAATTAAGTTAGCAAGACTCAGTAGATATAAAATTCGAAAGTGAAAGACATGGCAGAGCTGCAGCTTTTCAAAAGAAATATTGAGAACCAAATTCATGCTGCTGCTTAACCTTTCACCTAGAGCCCCATGAGAGGGTGGCAGAGGGCCTGTTACATGTCCTCTGCAGTTGGGAGTGGGCATAGATCAGCTGCTTAGACAGAAGTGAAAGGTTTCCACTGCTTCATTAGAATCAGCCTAAATTCCCAGAATTTGAGGATGTATACATGTTTCCCACCAGTCAGATTGGGCATAGTGGGAGGGAGAGCCATCCTAGAAGGATGGGTGCAGAGTGCGATGGGTGGGATCTCAACAAAGAGAGTCTATGTTTTGCAACTTAAAATGTGATTTAGCGTATATAGTGGAAATAATTAGAAAGTCATAGTATTAACTGAATTTTCATTCAGGAGCAGGGGAAGAATAATCCTTCAATGAACAGCTTTAGAGGGACTAAGGGAGACAAAAGTAGAGTTGCTGTTAATGTTGTACCTTAAGATCCATCCTTGTTCAACATGCAAATTAAAATACCATTATAGGCCAGGCACAGTGGCTCATGCCTGTAATCCCAGCACTTAGGGAGGCTGAGGTGGGCGGATCACTTGAGGTCAGGAGTTCAAGACCAGCCTGGCCAACATGGTGAAACCCTGATTCTACTAAAAGTACAAAAATAAGCCAGGTGTGGTGGCAGGTGCCTGTAATCCCAGCTCCTTGGGAGGCTGAGGCAGAATGACTTGAACCTGGAAGGCAGAGGTGGCAGTGAGCTTCGATTGCACCACTGCACTCCAGCCTGGGCAACAGAAGGAACTCCATCTCAACAACAACAAAAAATTATAGAAAACAAAATTTAATTACAATTATAAAAATCTAAAAGATATTTGATATAAATGTAATTCACTGAAGAAGCACCTTAGATTTTGTATTTCCCCTTATGTTTCAGAGCAATTCTATTGGTTTTACTTCATATTTTTATGTTGGTGATGAGAAAATACTTAACCATTTGTAGGTTTCAGTAATTGAAATAATACTTTCTGGTAGTATTTTTCAAATAGGCCACAGGACCCATTTACAGGATTCAAAAGAGTTTTTCTTTATGTATGTTATATTTGTTAAATTAAAATTTGTATTAAAACATAAATTTTTAGTAGACATTCATTTTTTAAAAATTATGAATCTATTACCTAGAAAAGAGATACATTTTCATTCAGATCATCACTTTTCAGATCATTGTGGATACTTTCCTTTGATACCCCAAAACTCAGCACATGGTAATTGCTTAAGGGCTATTGCAATGTGGAAGTCAAAAACATATCAATGAACTTTTCATACATTCGTGTTATGATCCACTAGTCTGTCTTGAATTTTGAGTTGATCTTTACCCATGCATAATTTTGTAACATCATGCATTGGCAGTTTGGAAAATATTGGTTCTCTGAGTTATATAAATGTCTTATATATTGATACATTTCATTATCCAAAACAAAAATCAGTTGTTAATATCATGGCTGATATCATTAGAAAGGACCTGGATAGCTTTCAAGATCACAGTGGCAGCTACAAGGCTTCCAAACTTCACTTGAAAGCTAAAGTTTTATCACTGATAACAAATCCTTGTCATTTGTTTTCTTTGAAACGATAGCCTCATTTCTCCCATTTTCACAAAATACTCTGCCAAGTACTCAAGTAAGAATAACCTTACACTGCCAGTCACTGTATTAGTCTGTTTTCACCCTGCTGATACAGACATACCTGAGACTGGGTAATTTATAAAGAAAAAGAGGTTTAATGGACTCAGTTCCACATGGCTGGGAAAGCCTCACAATCATGGCTGAAGGCAAAAGGCATGTCTTACATGGCAGCAGACGAGTGAGAATGAGGGCCAAGTGAAAGGGGTTTCCCCTTTTGAAACCATCAGATCTCATGACACTAATTTGCTATCACAAGAACAGCACAGGAAAGACTTGCCCCTATGATTCAATTACCTCCCACCGGGTCCCTCTCACAACATGTGAGAATTGTGATAGCTATAGTTCAAGATGAGATTTGGGTGGTGACACAGCCAAACCGTATCAGTCATTCTTTTAAAAAGTAAAAATGATGTTCCATGAGAAAAGTGACTAGTTCAGCTCACATCCCTGAAAGGGTCTCAAACTATAGAATATGCAGATCAGGCCAGGTGCGGTGGCTCATGCCTATAATCCTAGCATT